CCACACACTTGATAGTGGTTACTACCACAACACAACACCACCAGGATGTATACTGTATAACACCAGCAGTGTGTGTACGACGCACCACCACCACGGTATATTCTACACACTCGCCAGGGAAGCACAGTGTGGGGCTGTGGTATCAGATAGTGTGTATATTACACAATCGGGATACACTATGACTGTGGCTACCAGCAGTGTATATATTATATACACGTCAGGATACACTGTATATATTATATACACGTCAGGATACACAATGTGTATTATACACACGTCAGGCTACACAGTGTGGCTGTGGCATCCAGCGAGAAGCACAATACTGAGTGATTACCCAGGTCCCTCGGTGTGTGTAGCAGTCACTGACATGATTCTCTACCACCCACCCACATGCCCCTCTGCCACCCACACGCCCCTCTGCCACCCACACGCCCCTCTGCCATCCACCCACCCACACGCCCCTCTCTGCCCCCACACACGCCCCTCTCTGCCCCCACACACGCCCCTCTCTGCCCCCCACACACGCCCCTCTCTGCCACACACACACACACACGCCCCTCTCTGCCACTCTCTCACACACACACACCCCTCTCTGCCACTCACACACGCCCCTCTCTGCCAGCCACCCACACACGCACGCCCCTCTGCCATCCACCCACACACATACATACGCCCCTCTCTGCCATTCACCCACCCACACACATACACACACACACTGTGTGTGTGTGTGTGTGTGTGTGTGTGTGTGTGTGTGTGTGTGTGTGTGTGTGTGTGTGTGTGTATGTGTGTGTGTGTGTGTGTGTGTGTGTGTGTGTGTGTGTGTGTGTGTGTGTGTGTGTGTGTGTGTGTGTGTGTGTGTGTGTGTGTGTGTGTGTGTGTGTGTGTGTGTGTGTGTGTGAGACAAGTGCCTTGGACAAATTGTAACTAATACACAACCATAAGAAAACACTGACCTGGGGAACCAGTTACCAGAGTTTTCCCTCCCTTACAACCATTAGAAAACACTGACCTGGGGAACCTCTCTTCTGACGTAATGGTTTCAAATTCTCGAGTCAAATTAGATAGGTTTAGGTTTAGAAATGATGTAGGAAAGTATTGGTTTGAAAATAGAGTAGCTGATAAGTTGAACAAACGTGCCTAGTAGCTAAGCCTTGTATAGCTTCAAATATAGATTAAACACATGAGTAAGAGAGGATGGATTAAAGTGGAACTTGCACGAATGGGCTGGAAAATATTTTGTTACGAGGGTTTGAAAAGGACCTGCCTAGTATGGGACGGTAGGCCTAATATGAGCCGGTAGGCCTGCTGTAGTGTTCCTTCATTTTTGTCACACAGGCTGTTGTTCAGCTTATTGCTGTACTGAGGTGTGTGGTGTTGAGGGTACAGCACTAACAGCAGTACAGCTTATTGCTGTACTGAGGTGTGTGGTGTGTTGATGTCAATGGTATTTTAGGTATGTAGGTAGAAGACAGTTACCATCATCACAACATAAGAATGTGACATAGCTGGAGTCACTGAACAGGTCACACATCGTGACCTGCAGGAGTTCAAACCTCTGCTCCACCAGTGGACATAATCAGAATGCAAATACCGAGCCGACAGGATTACAGAATTATGGCACCGAGTACTTGGTCCTCTCAGCTGTCATTAATGCCAGGATGGTGGTGGTCGATAGTGGACTTGGTGATCCCGTATAAAGTCCACAACTTCTCAAAGATCCCGTATAAAGTCCACAACTTCTCAAAGATCCCGTATAAAGTCCACAACTTCTCAAAGATCCCGTATAAAGTCCACAACTTCTCAAAGATCCCGTATAAAGTCCACAACTTCTCAAAGATCCCGTATAAAGTCCACAACTTCTCAAAGATCCCGTATAAAGTCCACAACTTCTCAAGGATTTCATTACAGAATACACCTCAGTAATCTGTTACAAGGGACTCAGGTGTAGTACGTCTACTTGTACACGACTTACAAAATCGTAATAACACCATTACTTGCAGTACCCCAGTGGCTAACGCGACGGTCTGGAGTTTTGAGACTCTCTGACCGCGGGTTCTAACCCTTCCCTTGGTATGGTACGTTTACTTGTAGTTAATTAAGCGCAATCAAACTGCCTCTGTAGTTTTATCTGCATAGTTACTAATTCACAGTAATGGTGTAATTATCAGCTATCACATATTAAGTTTATGACCTTGAATTGAACCTTGGAAACTGAACCTTGGAAACTGAACCTTGGAAATTGAACCTTGGAAACTGAACCTTGGAAACTGAACCTTGGAAACTGAACCTTGGAAACTGAACCTTGGAAACTGAACCTTGGAAACTGAACCTTGAAAATTAAACTTTGGAAACTGAACCTTGGAAACTGAACCTTGGAAACTGAACTTTGGAAACTGAACCTTGGAAACTGAACCTTGGAAACTGAACCTTGTAAACTGAACCTTGGAAACTGAACCTTGGAAACTGAACCTTGAAAATTAAACTTTGGAAACTGAACCTTGGAAACTGAACCTTGGAAACTGAACCTTGGAAACTGAACCTTGAAAATTAAACTTTGGAAACTGAACCTTGGAAACTGAACCTTGAAAATTAAACTTTGGAAACTGAACCTTGGAAACTGAACCTTGGAAACTGAACTTTGGAAACTGAACCTTGGAAACTGAACCTTGAAAATTAAACCTTGGAAACTGAACCTTGGAAACTGAACCTTGGAAACTAAACCTTGGAAATTGAACCTTGGAAACTGAACCTTGGAAACTGAACCTTGGAAACTGTACCTTGGAAATTAAACTTTGGAAATCAAACTTTGGAAACTGAACCTTAGAAAGTAAACTCTGGAAATTAATCAACAAGTCAAGCCATATTCCTCCACATGTTGTACTGGTAGTTGGATAAACTTGAATGGGGTTATTAGGCGATGGTACAGCTGCTGTGTCTGCTGCCTCACACTGCTGACAGTTCAGCTTACTACTGAGGTGTGTGCTGCTGTGTCTGCTGCCTCACACTGCTGACAGTTCAGCTTACTACTGAGGTGTGTGCTGCTATGTCTGCTGCCTCACTGCTGACAGTTCAGCTTACTACTGAGGTGTGTGCTGCTATGTCTGCTGCCTCACACTGCTGACAGTTCAGCTTACTACTGAGGTGTGTGCTGCTATGTCTGCTGCCTCACACTGCTGACAGTTCAGCTTACTACTGAGGTGTGTGCTGCTATGTCTGCTGCCTCACACTGCTGACAGTTCAGCTTACTACTGAGGTGTGTGCTGCTGTGTCTGCTGCCTCACTGCTGACAGTTCAGCTTACTACTGAGGTGTGTGCTGCTATGTCTGCTGCCTCACACTGCTGACAGTTCAGCTTACTACTGAGGTGTGTGCTGCTATGTCTGCTGCCTCACTGCTGACAGTTCAGCTTACTACTGAGGTGTGTGCTGCTGTGTCTGCTGCCTCACTGCTGACAGTTCAGCTTACTACTGAGGTGTGTGCTGCTATGTCTGCTGCCTCACACTGCTGACAGTTCAGCTTACTACTGAGGTGTGTGCTGCTGTGTCTGCTGCCTCACTGCTGACAGTTCAGCTTACTACTGAGGTGTGTGCTGCTATGTCTGCTGCCTCACACTGCTGACAGTTCAGCTTACTACTGAGGTGTGTGTTGCTATGTCTGCTGCCTCACACTGCTGACAGTTCAGCTTACTACTGAGGTGTGTGCTGCTATGTCTGCTGCCTCACACTGCTGACAGTTCAGCTTACTACTGAGGTGTGTGCTGCTATGTCTGCTGCCTCACACTGCTGACAGTTCAGCTTACTACTGAGGTGTGTGCTGATGTGTCTGCTGCCTCACACTGCTGACAGTTCAGCTTACTACTGAGGTGTGTGCTGCTGCTGTGTCTGCTGCCTCACACTGCTGACAGTTCAGCTTACTACTGAGGTGTGTGCTGCTATGTCTGCTGCCTCACACTGCTGACAGTTCAGCTTACTACTGAGGTGTGTGCTGCTATGTCTGCTGCCTCACACTGCTGACAGTTCAGCTTACTACTGAGGTGTGTGCTGATGTGTCTGCTGCCTCACACTGCTGACAGTTCAGCTTACTACTGAGGTGTGTGCTGCTGTGTCTGCTGCCTCACACTGCTGACAGTTCAGCTTACTACTGAGGTGTGTGCTGCTGTGTCTGCTGCCTCACACTGCGGACAGTTCAGCTTACTAGTGAGGTGTGTGCTGTTGTGTCTGCTGCCTCACACTGCTGACAGTTCAGCTTACTACTGCTGCACTGAGGTGTGTGCTGCTGTGTCTGCTGCCTCACACTGCTGACAGTTCAGCTTACTACTGGTGTAGTGTACTGACCTGTTCTGAGTAATAGTTTAGTGAGGAACGTACTGACCTGTTCTGAGTGGTGGTGTAGTGAGGAAGGTACTGACCTGTTCTGAGTTGTGGTATAGTAAGGAAGGTACTGACCTGTTCTGAGTTGTGGTATAGTAAGGAAGGTACTGACCTGTTCTGAGTGATGGTATAGTGAGGAAGGTACTGACCTGTTCTGAGTGATGGTATAGTGAGGAAGGTACTGACCTGTTCTGAGTTGTGGTATAGTAAGGAAGGTACTGACCTGTTCTGAGTGATGGTATAGTGAGGAAGGTACTGACCTGTTCTGAGTTGTGGTATAGTGAGGAAGGTACTGACCTGTTCTGAGTGGTGGTGTAGTGAGGAAGGTACTGACCTGTTCTGAGTTGTGGTATAGTAAGGAAGGTACTGACCTGTTCTGAGTTGTGGTATAGTGAGGAAGGTACTGACCTGTTCTGAGTGGTGGTGTAGTGAGGAAGGTTACTGACCTGTTCTGAGTGATGGTATAGTGAGAAAGGTACTGACATGTTCTGAGTGATGGTATAGTGAGAAAGGTACTGACATGTTCTGAGTGATGGTATAGTGAGAAAGGTACTGACATGTTCTAAGTGGTGGTGTAGTGAGGAAGGTACTGACCTGTTCTGAGTGATGGTGTAGTGAGAAAGGTACTGACCTGTTCTGAGTGATGGTATAGTGAGGGGAGATGACTGGTCTTGGTGATGGTGTACCAGTCTGGTGTTGACGTTCATACTCGGCGCACAGAGTCAAGATCTCCTCCAGTCTGGCTTTCTCTGCTGCCGCCGCCTCCTGCTCCTTCAGCCTCTCTTCCACTGCCTGTACAAAAACACACACACATCTTAATAAGGCTCAGTATATACTAAATGCTTATAACTATGACCAGCGGAAGGCCTCGGTCAGATGACAAAAGCTGCAGCTGTGGGTCATCATCTAAGACCCGCGTCAGGAAACACTTGTTCTGTTTCCTGACGAAGGTGACCTAGCACTCAGAATCACAGTTTCCTCGTCCACATCTGCTCCTATATCCTCTCCTCCATAACCTCCACAACAAATTTACTCTAATTATCATATCAAGGACCATATCTACTCCCTGAGCCTGGTCCTGGGCCAGGCTTGTCTGGTTAACCAGGCTGTTACTGATCCACTGGCTCGCATATCCATCACAGACTGATTAATTAGGTTCTTGGTAGAGGTACTTGTCCAGTTTCCTCTTGAAGACGTCGACACTTGTTCCAGCAGTGTTTGATATCTTATGGTAGAGTGGTGAACAGTCTAAGACCACGGATGTTGATATAGTGTTCTCTTATTGTGACTACTGCACCCCTATTTTTCACTGGGTTTATTTTACACTTCCTCCTATATCTCACTCCAATATGTTGTTATGGCAGTGTAGAAATTTGATACCACAGGTATGTGTTACCTTGTATCTCTCTTCTACTCCAGCAAGTGTGTGGCAAGACCGGGGACTCGAGGAAAGATCAATACTAATGGAGGCTTAGGGGAGAAATAAGGAGAGTAATGTGAGTCGTAGAGGCAGAGTTGTGAACATCAACTTGCTGGAGATGGTTTGAGGAGGGCAAGAAGCTGGGGAGGAAAGGCTGCAGAGAGGGGAGATGCGGGGGTGATTCAGGCTGCGAGGGGAGGGAAGATGCTGGGGAAGGTGAGTTGATACAGGTCCTGGACACACAGGGAGTAGAGAGGCTGTCAGACACTCCTCATTATTAACACTGACTTATTCATGAACATGCGTTATTCAACGTTTTAACAGGTGTGTGTGTGTGTGTGTGTGTGTGTGTGTGTGTGTGTGTGTGTGTGTGTGTGTGTGTGTGTGTGTGTGTGTGTGTAGGTGTGTGTGTGTGTGTGTGTGTGTGTGTGTGTGTGTGTGTAGGTGTAGGTGTGTGTAGGTGTGTGTAGGGGTGTGTGTGTGTGTGTGTAGGTGTGTGTTGTGTGTGTGTAGGTGTGTGTGTGTGTAGGTGTGTGTGTGTGTGTGTGTGTGTGTGTGTGTGTGTGTGTGTGTGTGTGTGTGTGTGTGTGTGTTTTGTGTGTATGTGTGTGTAGGTGTGTGTGTAGGTGTGTGTGTGTGTGTGTGTAGGTGTGTGTGTAGGTGTGTGTGTAGGTGTGTGTGTAGGTGTGTGTGTAGGTGTGTGTGTAGGTGTGTGTAGGTTGTGAGTGTGTGTGTAGGTGTGTGTGTGTGTGTAGGTGGTGTGTGTGTAGGTGTGTGTGTGTGTGTGTGTGTGTGTGTGTGTGTGTGTGTGTGTGGGGTGTGTGTGTGTTTTGGGGTAGGTGTGTGTGTAGTGTGTGTGTAGGTGGTGTGTGTAGGTGTGTGTGTAGGTGTGTGTGTAGGTGTGTGTGTAGGTGTGTGTGTAGGTGTGTGTGTAGGTGTGTGTGTAGTGTGTGTGTAGGTGTGTGGTGTAGTGTGTGTGTGTGTGTGTGTGTGTAGTGTGTGTGTGTGTGTGTGTGTGTGTGTGTGTGTGTGTGTGTGTGTGGTGTGTGTGTGTGTGTGTGTGTGTGTGTGTGTGTGTGTGTGTGTGTGTGTGTGTGTGTGTGTGTGTGTGTGTGTATGTGTGTGTGTGTGTGTGTGTGTACTCACCTATTTGTACTCACCTATTTGTGGTTGCAGGGGTCGAGTCACAGCTCCTGGCCCCGCCTCTTCGCTGATTGCTACTAGGTCCTCTCTCTCCCTGCCCCATGAGCTCTATCATACCTCGCCTTAAAACTATGTATGGTTCCTGCCTCCACCACATCACTTTCTAGGCTATTCCATGGCCTGACTACTCTATGACTGAAGAAATACTTCCTAACATCCCTTTGATTCATCTGAGTCTTCAACTTCCAATTGTGACCTCTTGTGTCTGTGTCCCATCTCTGGAACATCCCGTCTTTGTCCACCTCGTCTATTCCGCGCAGTATTTTATATGTCGTTATCATGTCTCCCCTGACCCTCCTGGCCTCCAGTGTCGTCAGGCCGATTTCCCCCAACTTTCTTCATAGGACAATCCCCGTAGCTCTGGGACTAGTCTTGTTGCAAACCTTTGCACTTTCTCTAATTTCTTGACGTGCTTGACTAGGTGTGGATTCCAAACTGGTGCTGCATACTCCAGTATGGGCCTGACGTAGATGGTGTACAGAGTCTTAAACGAATCCTTACTGAGGTATCGGAACGCTATCCGTAGGTTTGCCAGGCGCCCGTATGCTGCAGCAGTTATCTGATTGATGTGCGCCTCAGGAGATATGCTCGGTGTTATACTCACCCCAGATCTTTTTCCCTTTTTAGTGAGGTTTGCAGTCTTTGGCCATCTAAACTATTTTGTGTCTGCGGTCTTCTTTGCCCTTCCCCAATCTTCATGATTTTGCATTTGGCAGGGTTAAATTCTAGGAGCCAGTTGCTGGACCAGGCTTGTAGCCTGTCCAGATTCTTTGTAGTCCTGCCTGATCCTCGTCCGATTCGATTCTTCTCATTAACTTCACATCGTCTGCAAACAAGGACACTTCTGAGTCTATCCCTTCCGTTATGTCGTTCACGTATACCAAGAACAGCACAGGTCCTAGGACTGACCCTGTGGAACCCCGCTTGTCACAGGCGCCCACTCTGACACCCTCGTCGCGTACCATGACTCGTTGTTTCCTCCCTGTCAGATATTCTCTGATCCATTGCAGTGCCTTTTCCTGTTATGTGTGCCTGGTCCTCTAGCTTTTGCAGTAACCTCTTGTGAGGAACTGTGTCGAAAGCCTTCTTGCAGTCCAAAAATACGCAGTCGATCCACCCTCTCTCTCTTGTCTTACTTCTGTCACCTTGTCATAAAACTCTAGTAGGTTTGTGACACAGGATTTTCCTTCCCTGAAACCGTGCTGGTTGTCAATTATACACTTGTTTCTTTCCAGGTGCCCCACCACTCTCCTCCTGATGATCTTCTCCATGACCTTGCATACTATACACGTTAGAGATACAGGTCTGTAGTTTAGTGCCTCATGTCTGTCTCCCTTTTTAAAAATTGGGACTACATTTGCCATTTTCCATACCTCAGGGAGTTGCCCAGTTTCAAATGATGTGTTGAAGATCTTTGTTAATGGCTCACACAATATCTACTGCTCCCTCTTTAAGGACCCATGGAGAGATGTTGTCTGGTCCCACCGCCTTTGAGGTGTCAAGTTCGCATAGCAGCTTCTTCACCTCCTGTGTGTGTGTGTAGGTGTGTGTGTGTAGGTGTGTGTGTGTGTGTGTGTAGGTGTGTGTAGGTGTGTGTGTGTGTGTAGGTGTGTGTGTGTAGGTGTGTGTGTGTGTGTGTGTGTTGTGTGTGTGTGTGTGTGGTGTGTGTGTGTGTGTGTGTGTAGGTGTGTGTGTGTAGGTGTGTGTGTAGGTGTGTGTGTGTGTGTGTGTGTGTAGGTGTGTGTGTAGGTGTGTGTGTAGGTGTGTGTGTAGGTGTGTGTGTGTAGGTGTGTGTGTAGGTGTGTGGTGTAGGGTGTGTGTAGGTGTGTGTGTAGGTGTGTGTGTAGGTGTGTGTGTAGGTGTGTGTGTGTGTGTGTGTGTGTGTGTGTGTGTGTGTGTGTGTGTGTGTGTGTGTGTGTGTGTGTGTGTGTGGTGTGTGTGTGTGTGTGTGTAGGTGTGTGTGTGTGTGTGTGTGTGTGTGTGTGTAGGTGGTGTGTGTGTGTGTGTGTGTGTGTGTGTACTCACCTATTTGTACTCACCTATTTGTGGTTGCAGGGGTCGAGTCACAGCTCCTGGCCCCGCCTCTTCGCTGATTGCTACTAGGTCCTCTCTCTCCCTGCCCCATGAGCTCTATCATACCTCGCCTTAAAACTATGTATGGTTCCTGCCTCCACCACATCACTTTCTAGGCTATTCCATGGCCTGACTACTCTATGACTGAAGAAATACTTCCTAACATCCCTTTGATTCATCTGAGTCTTCAACTTCCAATTGTGACCTCTTGTGTCTGTGTCCCATCTCTGGAACATCCCGTCTTTGTCCACCTCGTCTATTCCGCCGCAGTAATTTTATATGTCGTTATCATGTCTCCCCTGACCCTCCTGGCCTCCAGTGTCGTCAGGCCGATTTCCCTCAACCTTTCTTCATAGGACAATCCCCGTAGCTTCGGGACTAGTCTTGTTGCAAACCTTTGCACTTTCTCTAATTTCTTGACGTGCTTGACTAGGTGTGGATTCCAAACTGGTGCTGCATACTCCAGTATGGCCTGACGTAGATGGTGTACAGAGTCTTAAACGAATCCTTACTGAGGTATCGGAACGCTATCCGTAGGTTTGCCAGGCGCCCGTATGCTGCAGCAGTTATCTGATTGATGTGCGCCTCAGGAGATATGCTCGGTGTTATACTCACCCCAGATCTTTTTCCTTTAGTGAGGTTTGCAGTCTTTGGCCATCTAAACTATATTGTGTCTGCGGTCTTCTTTGCCTTCCCCAATCTTCATGACTTTGCATTTGGCAGGGTTAAATTCTAGGAGCCAGTTGCTGGACCAGGCTTGTAGCCTGTCCAGATCTCTTTGTAGTCCTGCCTGATCCTCGTCCGATTCGATTCTTCTCATTAACTTCACATCGTCTGCAAACAAGGACACTTCTGAGTCTATCCCTTCCGTTATGTCGTTCACGTATACCAAGAACAGCACAGGTCCTAGGACTGACCCCTGTGGAACCCCGCTTGTCACAGGCGCCCACTCTGACACCTCGTCGCGTACCATGACTCGTTGTTTCCTCCCTGTCAGATATTCTCTGATCCATTGCAGTGCCTTTCCTGTTATGTGTGCCTGGTCCTCTAGCTTTTGCAGTAACCTCTTGTGAGGAACTGTGTCGAAAGCCTTCTT